AAATCTTAACATAAATTGAACGAGGTAAATTTATGGGGTAAGAGAGATTAATTTTTGGGAAAGGAAGATTTTGGCTTTCTTCTTTTCTCTAGAAGAATACCACATTTTTTAAATGGAGATAGATAAGTGGATAGCGAAAGGTGATGAAAGAAGAAGTACGTACATCTGTCTTCAACAAATTTGCGAGAACAATAAATATGAAAAAAATATTCTTAGTTTAGTAAAATTTTCCGTCGATACAAACAAATTTCTTTTGGTAGAAATGAATATAGACTAGCAATCCAATTCTGGGAATGTCGATATTTCGACTCTTTGTTCAGTCAGATGTTAACTGAAATAAAAAATGAATATTTATTGTGGAACTGAATATTGGATACTCTGCGTATTTCTTCGAAAATGGATTAATTCCGAACCAGTTTATTCGTTGAAATGATATTCAAATAAACTTTTGATGGAGGCACTAATTTGGTAATCAAATTTATGCAACAAGAAATATTATTCACACATTTCTTTTCTATCATTTATAAAATTTCAGTATTGTCTCTTATGTTTCGTTTCACAGGTTATACTTGCAAGCGTCATAATGAATATCTAACATACATATCATCATAGTCTTCTGCCTACACAACTGCCTTTCCTTAAATTAATTCGTGCTTGAAGGCATTCAATAATGAAATTATTGTTTGTTTTGCAATCAATATTTGCAAGTTTATGTTTTACTCTAACGCAATCTTAGTTAATAATGAGTTCGTTGTTTTTATTGTCAGATTTCTCCGTATTCTCTATGCTTTATGAACACTATTAATTACGGTTTTTCAACGCGAAAAACTATTTCATCATTCCATCGTCTAACTCCACGATAGAAAATTAATAGCAGTAATTAAACACAATGGAATTTCAATTGAATTTTGAAGTGGGTTCTTACTTTACTTTAGTTAATATGGGCACATATACACACGTGGAAAAAGTATAGATATATTCATTCATTCTGTATATGTCTGTCGGTGAACCAAGACCACAAAAAAGATAACGAATACTGAATCAGTAGAATGTGAAAAAATACCATTTTTGGATTCACCTAATAGTTGAATTTAATTCATGCTATTCAGTTGTTGTTTAGTACCAATAAACTTTCAACGAGGTAAATAGATGTGTGATATTTTTTAAGCCGACATGCGACAAACTGACGTAGCTAAGTGCATGGGCAACATGGAAGTTTTGTAGAAAAGTGAAATAAATTGATTACTGCAAAGTTTTCGAGAAACTGAAACTCTAGCAACATACAGGAAGTCAATTTTTAGTTAAATCGCTCTAAAACGATCTATAATTTGTAACAGGTGCCCTATATAACCATAGGCCAAGATACTTCAAGAAATCGTCACCATGAAGCCATCCTTTTTCAAAGTCAGTCGCGCTGCAAGTAATGTTGGGGAAATGAAAACAGAGATGTAAATGATTGGGCTACAGTTTTATTTACCGACGAATCCAGTTTGTATTGAATTCAGATTCTCGATGTGGAGACAATCTGGAAATGTAGAATGTTGGGAACACATCCGTACAGAGATGGTACGGTAATGGTATGGGCCGAAATAATGATAGGCCACAGAACGCCGGAAATCCTCTCGAACGTCTATGGAACATTCTTCAAGAAAGAATAATTCCACTATTGGGCAATATTTGTTTTCGTTTTCTGGAGCTTCCGATAGCAGAATGGATAGCTTCATCTCGAGCAGACATTGGCAATATTATTTTGAAGACGTATCACAGATGTAGAGCAGTGCTAAACGATCATCGAGGTTAAACATTGTATTAAACTTGACTTTCTCAATGAAGTCAAAAAAGCAATTTTTTACTACTTGGGAGCCGTCTGACTTGTCCATTTCTCCCGAATCATCGAAATTTATGAGAAATTTTTCGAAGTCTCCTTTGAAAGTTGGGGAACTTCGAATTTCTAATGGCAAATAAATTGAAAATATGAGGTGTCATTGGGAGATTTATATGAAGCCCTAAAAACTTGATACTATTATTTTCTGTCGTAAGCAAATCGTACGTATCTTTTTTTTTATTTATATCGCTACAGTTTCTTTGCCTACTATGAAACCTAATAGCAATGGTTTTGTTCACATTGACAAATAGGTTGTTTACGTCAAACCATTTGTTACAGTCTTGGAAAATCTTGTGATTTCATTTTTCAGCAAAGAATCTGATCGATCTGTTGCTATCATGAATGTGTCATCTCCATACACTATTATGAATTCAAGTCATTTATATACATAACAACGAGAATTGGGCTCAGTAGTGATCAGGGAGGCACACCCTTATCTGATGAAATAGTACCCGAAGCCATATCAGAGATAGTAACATGTTTCCTACAACGTAGGTAATCCGCTAACAGATTGAAAAACATCCCTCTTATCATATCAAGAAAGTTTATCAAGAAAATAATACATCAGGTCATAGTTCTATTGGTTTCGTCGATTAATTTGTAAGCTGTGAAATAAAATGTATTGGCACACTCTCGTTGCTTAGCTCCCCAGGAATTTCATACATTCGAAAAAAAATTCAAATTAGACCATAATTTTGATAATATCCAGTAATACCATTGGAGTTAGCGTGATCCCAACGCATGCGATATTTCTATTATAAATGACTTACAATTGTTTCTTTCTTTATATGAAAATCATAATAACATGAACATAATAACAGTCGATGCAGTTGAAACCGAAGAAAAAAATAATGTGAATAGTAATCAATGTTATTCGTAAACATTGTTTTATTTTCGAAGTCATTTGAAAAATGACTATATATCAAATAAAACCAGGTTTAAATTGATTGTTTTGCTATTTTTACCAAATAATACTTTCATTTGGAAACAGTTCACTCACCCAGTTTAAACTAAACTCGTGAATAACATATCTTGGTGTTTTTACAGTTATTATTTGGAACGTCATTTGGATAAAAATTAAAATTACAACTTGCTGAAAACTTGAGCACCATGTATGTAAAGTCTAAATAGTTTAACGTTTGAAAAACTCAAAGAAAAATGCCTAAGACTAAGTAGGCCTCAAAACTGTACAATTATTTTCTGAGGACTAATATTTTCGGATTAGGTCACATTCTAGTGAAAGAAAGTTATTGTAGTCAGGACTTCCGGTAAGCTCAAAACTTATAGAAAAGGAGGAAATATAGTATCAAACAGGAATCTAACGACAGCCAAATATATGAAGACGTGGCGCTACTTCAAACCTGTCGAAAAATAAAGTCAATCAAAATGATTTCCCAAGATTAAGATTCTCCAAAACTTTGAAATCGAGTATTTGCTCAGTTACTATTTTCACTTTAGAAAATACAATTCGGGAGTGCTGCTCAATGAGGTTGGTTTTGAAACGGAATTTGACGTTATGTTACTTCATTTGTCAGTTTCTGCTTTATTTTGATCGTTTATGAAGTGCTGACATTTTTTTATCAGATATGTTGTAAGGATGTACTAAAAATAATGCTGCAGAATTATAAGTAGTTCAAATCCGATTCTAATTGAGGTTGGAGGAAATTGAAAAGTTTGTTTTCATTATTGAATTTGACATGTGACACAAATTGAATCACTCCATTCTGGCAAATCTTATTATTAATGACGTCACTACGAATCGTTTTTGAATACACGCTCGAATAAGATTAAACGCCAGAAAACACTTTAGGTTCCTAATTTCTTCAGTTTTAATTTTGTAGTAGACGGGGTACACTCGAATGTTGAAGTTTAAAAAAGAATACTTCCTATTGAGACTTTGGGAAAATACGAAGAGAATTGGTGAAAAATTTTAATTTTCAAATTTTCATTTGAAAATGAGCAAACAGCGTCTTTTGTTTGTCACTATTAAAATTTCTTTGAAAATATTTCCATAGTTGACGAATTTAGAAAAATGGCTCCTAGAGCGCCATTTTGAAATTTAACGGTCACTTGTGTTATATCGTTGAAATGAGAATTGTGTATTTTATCGAAAGGTCTTAAAACACACAAAGTTCTATTTGAAATTCTTGACTTGGCATCCTTTCATGTTGAACCTAAATATGTTTTCGAATATTTTTCCATTATAAATATCGGCTCCAATGAAATATACAATGTACCTACATTTACAATGACTTCGTTGTCACCCGCTATATGGAGTTAGTCCAACTGTGGAGAAAATTCTAAGGCGAGATGACTTACTAGTTAGAGTGATTTATCGATTCGATGTTCAACTCTAATCGAAGCATTAATTTCATATACGATTTGATTTATATCCGGCTCTATCATTTGAAATGAGTTTTCTGACAACTATGAGCCTTCAGAAATACAGGAAAAACTTTGTGGTTATTGTTAGGTTGTTTTTTTGAGAGGATACATAAGTTTCGTATGCTACTGCGACACACATCATATCAGTGATATGTCTCAGCAACGAATGTTGCTGAGACTTGGAGATATAACCGTCGTCCGTCATACCAAGTGCGTTGACTGCGACTGGTACTGAGACTCGGAGTCTTAGCAACGACTGTTGCTCCGCAACGCAACAGTCATTCCTGAGACTCTCAGCAACTACTGTTGCTGGGACTATGAGATATAACCTTCGAGATACACCTTCGTCCGGCATACCACTGATGATGTCTGACGCAATAACATACGAAACGTTCGGTACTTCAGGTTCCATTCGACCACGGTATACCAGCCCGGATTTTGATCTCTTTAATCATGACAGCCATTGCTGACACTCTTGAGATATAACATCATTCTTGCAGTCCACGCACATACAACTGATGATGTCTGCCGCAGTAGCAGACGAAATGTTCGACCACGGCCTACCAACCCAGATTTCGTTCTCTCAAATCATGACTCCGGCCGTGGAAGTCTATACTCTTACATTAAACACAACTCTTTTCAGCTTTTGTGATGTGAGATTATATGTTAAATCATATGTTTCTATTATGTATTGCTGGTAATATTGACAAAAATATTTGAATATACTTACATATTTCCATTCGAGACTTCGATCTGAAAAAAAAATGTTAACATTAGTTTAGTAATTATAATTATATCGGTACAGATCTAAACAAAAGGGTGAACTACATTGTCATACACAGTGTATATGACAATATTATCAATACAATTTTATATTCTAATTTTCTACAATTTCTCAAGTATCATGAAATTCATCTACTGAATGTGAAATAGTTTTGGAAATCATGTGATATATGATACTGTAACTTACAATAAGATCATTGATTTGGAAATTATTTTTGTCAGTTATTTTTAACATTTCCATATGGAGGTTGGCAGAATTTCATCAATAACTTTGTCTACAAACGGAGAATCTCAAACTGAAAATGTAGAAAATAGGATCGATTGAAAGGTTTATAAACGTGATGGAATATTGTTAAAACTAATCAAGTTCTGTTTGGATGTCAACATATATCGCATGTCCTTTAAAACGATAAAACGATTGTTTACAAAGGTGTACCTTTTCTGACATATAATATTCCATTCAATTCAGACAATGTTGGAATGAATAATTGTTTCAGAAACACAACAGAAAGGTCAGTGATAGTGGATGAGAAGAATTCATAATGAGTGGTAATGAACCCTAATTAATAATAAGAATGCATGATATTCCACTGATATTTTGTATTCGTTTTCTACTCATTGTTTCAGCCGACGTTTTGTTTCAGAGACTTGATTTCTAAAAGAGGTAACGAATTGCATTGCGACAAGAATACATTATAATAAAATTATATTCAATATCATAACAATACAGCTAGTGTATTGATTATGTTTGTGAAAATTGTGTTCATAAAAAGTATGTAACTTTTTGAAATTATTGTAATGGTGAAAAAATAAAACACAAATGACGTGAGATTAGTTTTTATTTGACTATGTGATTTTGTATAAGAATATATTGATAACTTTTGAAGTTATCATAGCAAAAATAAAGATATAAGTTTATTTATTCTGAACAGTATTAGCACTATCTACATTTCTTCCTTTCTTTGGAAGATTCCTACATTTTTTGTATCAAGAAGGAGTAGTAGAAAGCCAAAAACTCTCTTTCCCAGATTTATTCTGATTTCAAATTTATTAAAAGTCATTATTTACATCAAGTCCTAGGACTTATTATCGATGTTGAACACAATCTTAAATTAGTTTCAAATTATTTTTTAGTGTGTGTTGCTATTGAAACGTGTTTTTTAGTTTTTAAACTATTATTTAATTTCCACTTTTTAGTTTGGCTTGCTATTTTAAGCTCTTTTTGTCTTAATATAAAATATATACGTAGGTATGCGCAGACAGACACTTGATTGCAGAAAATCCAAATAAACGGGTGTCATCTAAAGACACCAGTCGCACTTTGTGTTTTTGGTTAGATCGCCAATATTCTGTGAATGAAGTCTTCGCGAAGGCAGATTTAGCTACCTGCGTGACATCCGTGTCCAAACGATAAACCCGTATTTATGGTTAATTGGCTGAGTGTAAGGATGGACACTCAAAAATAAACGAAAAATAAAAAATCCCAGAATACGAATTAACAGTAAAAACAATGATTTTGTATAAACAATTTTTCCTTATTATTCATATTTTTTGTCAAAAACAAATATGTTAGTATTACATTGAACAGAAGTCAACAATTAAGTGTGCCACGATAAGTTACTACATGATTTCAAATTATTTTTTAACAAAAGTACCAACGAGTAAGAAAAGCTAAGAAATTAACGTTTCGGAGGCTACAATCTGCACCCGTCTTCAGAATTAGAAGAAATCTTGTCAGTTTTTCTTGGTTACTTTTTNCATTGACCAGTTTATAGATGAAAATGAGATCCGCAATGTCTCGTCTTTTTCTCAATGTTAATAAATTACAAGTTATTTTGGGCAAATCTAGTGAATCTTTTTGGAAAATCTAGTGACGAAAATGACATGTTGGACCTGCTACTTTCTTATGAAGACTTACATAAGAAAACAGCCATTTTGGTCCTAGTTCTCACATAGCATATCTATTACTGTAGATATACAACGTTACTTCTGTAACAGCATGCGTAGTAATGACTGGACATTCAAAGTGTAAGGAGTATCACCTGAGTGTTAGAGAGGTCATGCGCCGACTGAGACGGAGCTGATCCGTTCCAAAGACAAGATGTAACGGGTGTCCCAAAAAAACGCAACACAGCAACACGTCATTTACCATTAAGAGAAAAATTAATGGCGGCCTGTCATTTGTCATTGGGAGAAAAAAAAGACCGATATCTGAAAAGGTTGAAATCAGATTCTTGCAGCACACCAACGACGACGTATGCCTCTTATACCCCATGATGACTGTATTATTTTTGAAGATACAGATACGCGCACTCAGAAAGCTAACTTTGTTATTTTTGGAGATACATCGATGATGTTTTATATCTTTGCGAATCATCGAGAAATAAACACTTCCGGTTTCACTTCTAGTCATTCGATTTCGATTATTTTAGTTTCAATGGATTGTTCGATTGTAGTTATTGTAAGAGTTATCAAAGATACATTGTTTGAATGATGTTGTGAGATTTGTCGAATGTTTTTTAATCACTACATCCATTCATTTTTTTATAGAAAAATACAATTATTTCTAAATTTTCGCATTTGAATAATTTTAATTATATGAGAGGTGACTGAAAATATTTATTATATTTTCATAATTAATTGCACTTGCTCGATATCACTAGATAATGACTATTGGAGACGTGAACATCATTTGCAACCTTGATAGTCTGCAATATCGAAGGAGGGTTGGAGATTTGTTTCTCTTCCTAGATACTTGAACGGGAAGTGTTCAAGTGACTTTTGACATTTGATTCCGCCAAGAGCGGTACATATCAGAAATATGCGACGGACTATGAATGCTCATCGTTTTGAGGTTCGACTCAGTATACTGTCAAGAACTCTTTCATTAGGAGAATTGCGATTATGTGAAATAAACTTAATAGGAATAGCACAAGGGGACTATTCTTATTAACATTCACCTCCATATATAGAATTTCCACGATGGTCCACTCTGAAAATGCAAAAGTAAATTGCAGCACAAACGTGTCTGCATTTCTGGAAGTGTTGAGGGTTTAATCTCTGCCTCTACAATGGTGATGACCCTTCAACATACGCGGGATTACAAGAATCCCACTGAAGACGACGCAGGTTCTCACTCCGAGTAAAACTTTTTCCAAATTCCCTATACGTATACATCTTGTATATAATATCAGATGATAATAAGTAGAATTTGAAATGACTGAAATATTCACACCACACTTTCTATGAGAGGACAACCCCCTCCACTTCGATCCAAGTGAAGCGACGATGCTCTGTTCGAAGTCATATGATCAAACTCAAGGTAATGAATCAATGGAAGAGTCGATCGTCAAGATCAAACTCCCTGCTCAAAGTCACAAGTTAATAAGACGTGCACATCGCTTAAGGACGTGTGGCGTCATTCAAGATCAGGGTCGAGTGATGGGGTAGATTCAGAACTGTTATTAGTACCCTACTGATGAGACTTTCCATCAGTGAATGTTTTGCTCTTCAAGAATCTTTTTTCAAAATTCGAGTGACTATAATAGTTTTCGAGTAACTTGCAAAAAATAAATCCCCCTTATTTGATTAACTAAATTGTTTATAACGTTTCAATTATAATTTTTTGTGAAGGCAAAATCAAATTTTGCGAAAAAGCACTTGTGAACTAGACTGTAAGTTTTCACCCACTTAAATCACGAGGTGAAACGTGGTTTTTGTTCTGGGTAAGAAGTACATTTTAAAAAACAACTCCATGAGAATTACTTGACCAGAAATGTAATTGTGTACCTACCAAGCGTAAATAATCACACAAAATGACAATTATTATGAATTGAAAAAATGTCAAGGCCGGATGTAATGTTACCGTCACATGAAAAATTTAAATAAGTTATGCATGTGAACGAACAATTTTTAAGTGAAATATTTCATATGAACTGAACTGTACGAGAGTAAATTTCATCATGCATAACTTCCACTTTCCGGAAAATGCATTCCCGCACTCATGCATTAGAGTATACAGGGTGCTTATATTATGTTATTTTTGTATCTATTTTGAGAAAAAACTTTGTATGAACAAAGGTCTCGACTTTTGATCAGGGTGCTAAATAGCAGGGTTGGAAAAAATTATCGACTTTTTTATTTCAATAAGATTTTTTTTCAGATGTTTTCATCAAGTAATGAGAAAACTAATTATGTATTTTTAAAAGAACTTCTTTTGAATATATTACTTTTGTAATTTTCTATTATCCACTTTGTTTCGCAACAGAAATTAATTTAAATGTATGGATTCTGTTAAGTTTTATCGGTAACATAAAATAGGTACTTCGTATTGGAAAAAAAGGTCTAATTAAATAATCAAGGCATATTTCAATCTAGGCGCTATGAGAAAACTGCTACTGGTGACGGTATTCCAAGATTGCATATAGGTTTTTTTTTAGCCAAAAATTATTTTTACGGATGCCGTATAGAAAAAAATTGATTAGTCAATAAAAAAATATCTCTAAAACAATAACGTTGGACATAGTAAGTATGTAACTAAAACTCAAGGAGAATTTTCCAAACGAAAAATATGAGATATTCAAGTTGTTCAAAATTTTTCATTACTTAATCCAAGATCTTCTTTAACTGATAATAGGGGAGCCCAAGCGGAGATTTCGGGTTTTACTAAAGCGCGGCAGATTAATATACAGGGGGATACCTTGTACCCGGTTAAGTACCTCCACCAAATATGAGCCCCATATACAAGGCCGCCTGTGAGGGATAAAGGATCAGATTAGTAAAAAAATTGATCATCAGAAATTCTCGAGCGCATCAGATTAAGGTAGAGTAAGTTAATTACCTGCTAAAAAGTGTATATTCCAATAATCTGACAATTTGAGAATGACGTAAAGAAAGGCGAGGGCAGCAAAGTTGTAAAAAAATAACGTCATTTCGACATTCTCGAGCGTAACTATATTTTTTTATTTTAA